GCTGAATTCCGCAGTAAAAAATTATATGTGAATTCGGAGAAGAAATTTTGGTCCTAAGAAATATCTATAAATCTAACGGGAAAAATAAGAGTAAAGCGGAGCTGGATTTATATTGATGTGAATCGAATATACAATGAGGTCTCGAGTGAGATGTTTTACATGCTAAAATGTAGTGTTAAACTCTCGTATTAGTAAAAAATTGGCGAAATCTCCTCGGACTCCATGTATTTATAGCTCGAATCAGCTCCTCGATTCAGCTCCACGTATCTAGGGACGGTTCTGCATATATCAGGCTTGTGTTTTGGCATATTTGATATGTACTATATTTTGCCACGTTTACTATATATTTTACAATGTTTTCGTTGCATTTATATATGGTTTTATACCTTTAAAGGTAGTTTTCTTGTATTTGTAGTTTTAGAGTCTTAATAGGGAAAAGGAGCAAAAAGAGCCAAAAGAGGTGTAAACCAAGCTACACAAATTTACTAATCCAAAGGTACTACCAAGACCAAAGAATTCACAAGATACAATATTCTACCAACTTGGACAGAATGTATACGTCAGAAGTTTAGTGATAAACGATGGAGCAAATCAACTTGGAATTGGATGAAACTTGGTGGAAAGATATATATTTGAGTTAACCTCACAATGGAGTTTGAATCATCTCAATTGGAGCTGTGAGCAGAAAGATACACTGGAATTACTGAAGACACATCAAGCTGCCTCAGAAATGAAGCAAGTGCAGAATCGACTCAAATACCGGGCCACTTTGTGGACCGTTGATCCAGACTGATGCCAGCACAAATCAAGGCACTTTGGAGCCAATACCGGTCATGTTGTTTGACCGACATTCCCAACCGACCTTGGAGCAACTTTTGACGTAAAAGACTGTTTTGCCCTAAAATCAACCCTAAAAGATCCTAGACCTATATATACTTGCTTTTAGCCTTTTTTTTAGGGATATGCCGAAACAATAGAATATTTTTTATCATAAGGAGCAGCGACCACAAGTTTTTTTTGTGTTCTTCATTAGCTTTGGATTTTAGAGCACTTGGTGGATGATCTCGCATTGTATCTCGATATAGAGAAGAATCCTTTACCTTTACTCTTTAATTCAAGTTTATTTATCATGAATTTATCATCTATCTCTTGTCATTCGTGTATCATGTCCGATTAATTTATTTGTTAGGGTTTAGAGTTTTCAATGAGTTTTCATAATTCGATAATTGATTGATGATTGTTTAGGGAATACATAAAAGTCTTCATTTTTACTTATACCCTATGCATGATTGATTTACCGCGCATCTAGTGATCTGATCTTAGGTTTATATACTCTCCAAAAACGTCTTAACAATTTGAAATGTTAGTTAAAGAGTTTAGTGAACTTTATCCGAACTTGAACTTTACGCATATTTTCTCCTTGTAATAACCATACGACAGGTGAGTCTATTAGGGTGATAAAGTATAGAGGTCCGAGCCACGACAGTGGGAAGATCTTACCTTCGTGTTTTGTGTTCTAGACATATCATTATTCTTAAATCCCTAAAATCAATCGATCTTTATTGTTGCATGATTCTTTGCGAAACACTCTAGTCAATTTCATATTTTGTTCTAGTTTAGTTTTATTCGTTACAATTTGGAGTGTGGTTAAGAAGTCCTCGTGGATTCGGTATATATACTAACCGTGAATGCTGTGCACTTGCAGGAAGTTTAGTTGAGTGGTAAAACTCGACACAACATCAAGTTTTTGGCGCCGTTGCCGGCTATTTCGAAGAACATCACCTTCAAAATTTTGACTAAAACCTAGTCTAGAATCTTTAAATTTCAGA